TAACTAAGAAAACTTCAATATGACAGAGGTGATATTACATCCTGGCTGTAAAACGATACATTAGTTCAATAAACATCATTCGTACCATTAGTCATCCAAAGATAGAGAGGGAGGCACGGAGAGTAGGGGCATGGAAAAATGACCTGGGCTCTTGCCTCACGTAGCTGGGGAAACTAAATTTCAGAAAATCAAAAGACCTACGTGTGAAACTTAAAACTTTAAGAAGAAATTTTAGAACCTATGAGTTCAAAGAAAGATGTTTCTTTCCATAAACGAACAACTAAGTTTTATTAAACAAAAGCCTAGCGTGAAATGTAGATAAGTTCGGCATGAACATTTCAGACTTCTAGTGAAGCACCCACCTGCTGAGGAAGGGTCAGCAGTTTGAACGTGCCAGCACCTAAGGGGGAGAAAGGATCCGTTGACCTGCTCCCAGCAAGAGGGCAGTCTTGGAGACCCTCAGGAGACCCTGAGTTCTCCTCTCCTCTAGGTCTCGAGGAGCTGGAATCAACTCCGTGACACACCTCTTAGACCTGGAAGACAGCAAGAACCATAACAATGAAGAAATCACAAAATGGCAGCCCATTGAGCACCTTCTGGAAGAAGGCCTGGGGCAGTTGGGTGCCTCCGGGCACCTCCCCGGCAAAGGTAAAGAGCTGTAACACCTGCCTGAGCAGAGGCCAGCTGTAGCAACCAAGAAACTATCAGGCTGTACACTGAGTTGTTATTGTACCCCAAAATTGATCCTGATCCTGACTTGTAGCCTATTATTTTTCTAATAAACACCATGATGGGGGTGAGGGGACACAGATTACTAAAAAAAGATGTGATATTTACCACTCATATGATTGACAAAGAATTAGTAACTAACATAAATACCTTAAAATTTATATAAAGTCAATAAGGGAAACAAACAATAATAAAGAAGTGGGTGACATAAATATACAGGCAATTCACAAAAGAGGAAATAGAAATGGTCTACTAAACTTACAAAAATATACCTACCTTGAGTGGTCATCACAAAACTGAAAAATGAGCCTTTATTTCACACCCATCAGATTGGAAACTTTAAAATGTGTCAGTGTCCAAGGTTCACAAAGATGGGGAGCAACAGGGCTTCTCGTGCCAGAAAAAGAGTTGATCTCGGATGTAAGTTCCCAGATTGATTTCATCTACCACCCCCATTTCAGAAAATAAAATTACTCGGCGCCCCCTGGCAATGGAAGATTTTTGTACGCTAGCCCCTAATCCGGGATGAAGTGTATGTAGGTGCTTTTGCAGGACCCCTGGATTGCTCCAGTCCCAGTGGGCAGTGTGACCCACTAGGGGAAACCCTGATCTAGAGTCTACGAAAACCATAAGACACAGAACAGAAGAGTTCTGTCAAAGGGTGGCATCGTGATCAATGGAGAAAGGGTTGAAGTTGTCAAGGATTTCATCTTGCTGGGACCCACAGTCGGTGCTCATGGAAGCAGTAGACAAGAGTCCAAACGTTGAGTTGCATTAGGTCAATCTGCTGCACAAGACCTCTCTAGAGTATGGAAAAGCACGGATGTTATTTGGAGAACTTAAGGAGAGCTTGACTCGAGCCATGGGTTTCCCAATTGCTTCATATTTATGTGAAAGTTGGACACTGAATCAAGAAAACGGAAGAAGAATCTATGCATTCAGATTGTGGTGCTGGCAAAGAATATTGAACAGGCCATGGAATGAAAGTACTGAAAGGACCGTGGACTGCAGAAAGAACACGCACATCTGTCTTGTACGATGAACTGCTCAAAGAACAAACCAATCTTCCTTGGAAGAAGTATGGTCAGAATGCTCCTTAGAGGCAAGGATCCAAGGCTCCTGCTTACATACTTCAGCCATATTGTCTGGAGAGACCAGCCAGCACTTGGAGAAGAGGACCATGGCTCGCAACGTGGAATGGCAGAGAAAGAGAGGAACGTGCTCGATGAAGTGGACGGCGCCGTGGCTGCCACAATGAGCTCAAGCGTAGGAACAAATCTGAGGCTGACACAGGAGCCAGCCGAGCTCGGAGGTGCATAGGCTGCTATGTGTCGGAAGGGACTCAATGACAACTAACAACAACACGGGGAAGTTACCCTACCAGGTAATGATACAAAAACCAACAAACCTCACTGCTATGGAGCTGATGCCAACTCATAACGACCCTCTAGGACAGAGTAGAACTGCCCCTGTGAGTCTCCTAGTCTAACTCTATGAGAGTACAGTCCTGGCTTTGCCCGTGGAGCCCCCTGGTGGTTTCGAACCACCACCTTGCAGATCCCAGCAGAACACTCAACCATGGTACCAGGGCTCCTCTAGATAATCACTCTTATTCATTCAAAATACTGTGTCCTAGCTGGACACAAAATGGACAAACAAATCAAAATACTTGTCATCGAGTCAAGGCCAACTCACAGTGATAATATAGGACAGGGTAGAACTGCCCCTATGAGTTTCCAAGACTGTAACTGTTAACTCGAATAGAAAACCCCATCTTTCTCCCATGTGGTGCCTCA